TACACAGAAATACACACAAACATGCAAGCTAACAACATACCTCAGAGAGGTTTGTGTACTCTGTCATACTTTACACTTCCAGTCTTCCGTACACTCAGAGTATGAACATGTGTACTGGTTGTACTGTTTAGTAGGCTCAGATTTTCAAACTAACATGATCCCCACAGCGTGTCCAGTACCAGCTACTGACCTTGGCAAGTGGTGGATTAATTCAAGTGCAAAAAAATCCCAAAAGTTGAAGTCATTTTGTGACAGAATGACATTGTGTATTAGGTAAGCCCAGGAGTATGTCGTTATGGTTTAAACTGCAAAGAGAATTATGATTAACAAATGCTAATGAGTGGAAGACAGGCTTCCAACACACCACTGCTGGAGAAGGGACACTCTGTGTGAAATAAAGCACGAGAAAACACCAGGCTATTGTCAAATTAGTTACTCTCAAAATCTGGCAATAATACGTGTATGGGTCACAGACAAGAAAAGGTTTTTTCGAAATAATCAAAATATTAATTTCACGGCTTTATCCTAGACAGTGGGATGTATACCGGTAGTATATTTATATAAGAATAATGTCAAACATACATGAGATTAAAAGAAATCCTGCTCAATAATATATCATTCAGAATAACACATACTACTTGGAATAACACGTACTACTTGGAAAGTGTGTATAAATGAAAATCTCACTCTAAGAATTGTACATCATCAATAATTATTAAATAAAAATTATTGTCAAACCTCTATATTTTCCTATTATAACTACAACTTCAGCTTTCTGGTGTGTAAGATGTTATTTAAATTTATTAAAAGATGATTCATTGTAAGCCATTGTAATTACTAAAAGAGTACCTCAGTGACAATGTTATTCCTCAGGCCTTCAGTGACATTAAAGTCCCACCCAGCTTCACAGTCCACTACACCAGAGCGAGTGCCATTAACGAACAGGTACTGGGTGCATTGGGAGAGTCCCCCACTGTCGCCTTCCCTAGTACCCTTCTCCCAGGGCAGTGAGGCATTTAGCATCTCATCCGTGGGGTTGGACACCGACAGGTGACAGTGATGGGGTGATGCCAGGGTCAACAGCGGGTCAGAAGACAGCAGGAAGGCCAAAAAGAGGTTAGGCAAGATGGAAAGCACGATGAAAAGCCTCTGTTTCTTCCGTCCCAGGGCCATCACCATTACCTCACCTGTAGGGGGCAGCGAGGGAGGCACCGGGACAGTAGAGGGCGCAGGAGAGGATGGGGCAGGGGATGAGGGCAGAGAGGGAGGGGGAGGAGGGCAAGGACAAGGGGAAGCCAGAGGAGAGGGCGGGGACGTCATAGCTCAAGGTGAGAGGTCAGTGAAAAGCCGTCTACTGTGTGGTATGGAGTCCGGCGATTCGCACCTGGCTTTGGCTTCACCCTTTAATGTTGGCGTAAGAATAGGGGAGATAGAGAAAAAGAATGAAAGAGAGAAAGACAGAATTTTAGATTTTGGTTTCTGTCTCATCCTTCTCTCTTCTTCTGTCCAAAGAAGAGTAAAATAATGTTTAACATGGAAAAATGAGAAACGTAAACTGAAATCATTGCTATTACATTTCTGTTACATACTGTTATATCAGAATCACAGAATTACCTTTCCAAATTATCTTTGGCAAAAAACCTAACAAACACTCCCTGAAATACTGCCCTCTCTACACACCTAATAATCTATTATTACCCCTGCCTTGGGAATCAATGAAACCATGGTTCATTCTGACCGGGGGACAAAAAGACAGACGTCAGATACAGTGTCCTACACACCTGGAATAATCTTCAGAGGTCCTTGAAACTGTATACTCATATGACACTGAGCCAGTTTAAACTTGAAACCCTTTAAGACCTAATTTTGTCCAGCCAGTGTGTTAAAGAACAAAATTCAAACCTCTGAGATCTTAACAGCTCCATGTTAAACTAAAAAAGTGGAGGCGTTATGCATTATTGCGCTCATTCCTTTCATGCACTAGTGGTGAAAATACATACATACTGTATAGTGTCCAAACATACAAGAGCATTCCAGGCATTTTTATCAGTTCATAAAGAGTTTTATACGTCAGAGATGTTGAATTCATTAATCTGATTGGTCACGTGTTGATTAATTTTCTATAACAGCATGGCTCAGTCAATAGTGCTGGTTGTAATTCAACTAATAACTTTATATTAATGTGCATTCTAATATGTTATCACTTCTCTAGTAACAACTCTTTCACAGGGATTTGCACGGCAGATGAACTGTATAATCTGAGGCTAGTAATAAATGGATTTTAAAAATGTTCTTATTAAACTAAGAAAAACAGATAATCCTTGATATGGTGACCTTTTCTGTGAGGAGACATTTATTTAACATTCATGAAAGCAGTCTTGGACATCAGAACTTTGTAACAGTCAGTAGGTTTTCCACCACAAAAGAGTCTTCAGCACAGAAGGTTTCAGGACAAGCTGTGTTTTTTTTCTTATTAACATCAAGACAGAGAAGTAAAAGGCTGGTGAGTGAACAAGGTACTATAACGTAAGTGATAACAGAAAATCATTTGTCTCAAGGACGCTCCAAAACGTTAAATGTAACTATAAATGGTTAAAAAGCACCATATGTCACTCATTAATAAATTAAAAATTGTAATCATTGGTAAATTGCTGCGGTATAAGAGGAATTAAAAATGTCAGGATGTTGTTATAAGAAAATAATCCGCTTCCAATCAGGCTGTATCACACCAGCCCATCGTTGAATATTTACCAAGAGCATTATTGGTTACTTATTGCTGCAGTTATTTACTCAGTTTCCTTTTCTATGTTTTATTGATTTTACAGTAAAATGCGAAATCATATAATAATATTTTTGCTGCTTATATTGAATATTTGTGTTTACTTCAACTCTATTCAATTCAATTTTATTTGTACAGCCCTTTTAACAATGGACATTGTCACAAAGCAGCTTTATAGAAATATATAAATTCAGGATATAAATTTATCCCTAATGAGCAAGCCAAAAAATTAGGAGGACTTGAGGAACCTATCCTCATCTCGGTGACTATAAATAATTCCCTATTATAAGTGTGTACTATATGGTCAAAAAGTGTTATTGTGTAACCAGGAAATTCATTATAGTTTTGACATAAAGTCTGTTTTGGTGAAGTGATCAAACTGTTCACTGATGGAGACTTGAGTGCAAAACTGTTCGTGGTAATTGTTTAAAAACTGGTATAACTAAGGTCTGAGTTTGTATTCGTGACTGGTGGAATTGAGAAACAGAGTGCTGAAGCAGAAAACACAAACAGTGATCACCAAATCCCAGGAAAAACTTATGAAATGCACAAGTGGCCACGCTTAAGCTTAGACATTAGAAGGTTAATCATGAACTTGTGTGACTGTAAATGGATGTCTAAATCTTCTTTTTTTGTGTGTTTTATGGCTGTCTCTTATGCTTCCTGTGTTTGGACTGCCCTCAGTGAACTTCTAGAAAATTAAAAGAAATGAAACAGTTCATTCATTACAGTCTCATTTGTCTCAATCATAACAATTATCTCAGTTGTCTTATTGTCTTTAATATTGCGCAATCAATTGCCCAGCTCTGTTCACTAGGCCTCACAACTACATCAGCCATCATCTTCATCAGCCATCTCTAAAGACTTCTTAATATCCTCAAGGTGTAAGAAGATCTGACTGGTTTTCAGGATTTCAAGATGGAGAAAGAAGTTGGAGCATGTAGTGCTTAGTACAGCCTAGTGGCTGGATGTGTGTATTCCAGCATTACATAAGAGGCACATTAGAGATGGGGAAAAGTGCAGCATGTAAATAAACAACAGAGGAGCAAGACTCAAGCAGGTCGTCCTAATGTGGCTATAAACACAGAGCAGTGTGTGTTTGTGTGTTACTGTAGAAACAGCTGAGCCCTGCTGACACACACACACACACACACACACACCGCATGAACACTGTAAACACTCCTGCTTTCCTCCTCTAAAGGCACATCTTTCACTTGGAGATTGATATATAAGGGACTTACTGTAATGATGATGATGAGGATGAGGATGATGAGACTGTGACAGCAAGTCTCAGTAAATGTCACTTTGTCAGTGAGCGCAGTGACAATCAGCAGGCGCAGGTGATCTTTCTTTCTTTCCTTCTTTCTTTCTTTTGGAGAAGAGCTCGTCTCATAACCGTATTGTCTCCCCTCTTGACGCGTGTCCTATTCCCGGCTACCGTCCACTGTCCAAGTCTTCATGCTTGGACACTAATGTCCACTAAGCACAGGAAATTCAATGGCGTGGCCCGGGAATGGCACAAGTAGCCCTCTGTCCGAACAAAGGCTGTTGCTGAGCTGTCCTCCTGGCCGAGGTGCAATCCGCCGACATGAAACACACACAGGTTAAATAAAGGCGCATTTCCGACATGCGCGACTTAAAGACTCTCAGCACAGAGCGCACGAACCGGTTTCTCCAGGACGCAAAGAGGGCGGAAAAAAACTGCAGCGGAACAACGTCCGGAAAAAGCGGCCAGTCTCGTGCAGCATCGGCTCCATTCGGGAGACTTTCCCCTTTCCCTGAAAGAGCTGCGGGTTGACTGTGTGGCCGCCAGGTGGAGCACTACATCCGCACAAAACGCTGTGACTTCATACTGTACAGGTCTCTCTGCAAACGTGGAGGCTTTTTATTTACCCTGCTTGCATGCATGCGTAACATGCTTAACATGATTTCACAGTTTGCTTTGCTTCAGTTCAGATTACCTCTACAGACTTGCAAATGCTGTTTAGTCATATGTGGACATACACATGAATTACACATATCCATCCATTTTCTGTACCACTTATCCTACACAGGGTCACAGGGAGCCTGGAGCCTTCCCCAGGGGACTTGGGTCACAAGGCAGGGCACCAAACACACACAGACACACACACACACACACACACTTTTGGACTTGGGGGAGGAAACCAGAGTACACAGAGGAAACCCCCAAAGCACAGGGAGAACATGCAGGCTCTGCACAGGGCAGAGATGGGAATTGAGCCCCCAACCCTGGAGGTGTGAGGCAAACATGTTAACCACTAAGCTACTGTGCCCCTTGCCCCCATATGGCAGTAAAGCAGTACATACATACATGCATACATACATGCATACATAAATAAATGCATACATGCAATACATATATGCATGCACGCACGCACACAGGCCTATTCGTTTTTTTTGTTTTTTTTTTAAGTTGTTAACAAGTCAAACAGGCTACAGTAAAGAACTCAATAATTCCTTATTGATTTTCACCACTGTACTGACCCCTGGCTCTGCTCCATGAAGCCCACTTTGAGAACCACTGGTTTACACACTGGTTTATCTAATGCAGCTATAATATAATATTCACTCACAGGTGGGGGTATTAATAGGAATTTCAAAACATTTTATTATTTTATTATCAGAAATTTATTATAAAATTACTTTGGGTTGCCTTACTGCCATGTGCATGTCTTACATGCTGTGATTTAAGACACTGATATCTGTAAAGTTGCTAAAAAGCACTATAAAATGAAATGACAAATTATGTGCTATTTTTTATATGCTAAGCTTTATTATTATTATATGCTAATCTTGAGTGTTTCTCCAGAGGGAACCAGAAAGGGTTCTAAGTAGATCACTTTTAGGAAGTTAGAATCATTAATAATTAAAAGAACCCCTGAAAAACTCTTGTTCCTAATAGTGTACATACACTGTTATAGTCTGTCAGGATTGGAATTTGGTGTCTGTGGATTATGTATTATATGGCCAAAAGTTTGTGGACACCTAACCATCACACCCATATGTGGTTCTTCTCCAAACTGTTGCCACAAAGTTGGAAGCATATATTGCACAGGATGTCTTTGTACGCTGTAGCATGGAACTAAGGGGCCTAAACCTGTTCCAGCATGACAATGTCTCTGTGCACAAAGCGAGCTCATGAAGACGTGTTTTGCCAAGATTGGAGTGGAAAAACTCAAGTGGCCTGGACAGTATCCTGACCTCAACCTTTGGGATGAACTGAAACTCTGACTGCACCACAGGCCTCCTCACCTGACATCACTGTCTGACCTCACTAATGCTCTTGTGGCTGAATGATCACAAATCCCCACAGCCACACTCCAAAATCTAGTGGAAAGACTTCCCAGAAGAATGGAGGTTATTATAACAGCAAAAGGGGACAAAATCTGGAATGGGATTTCAACACACACATATGAATGTGATGGTGAGGGGTGCACATACTTTTGGCTATATAGAGTATGAGCACATTTTGATTTTATTTGTAGTTACAGATGATTCCCTTACAGAAAAGTCACATATGAATTCATAAATTCTAAAAACTTCACTTGTAATGTTTCACACATTTTTTTTTTTTTTAAATTTCACGTTTTTTTTCACAGGATTAATTTATTTTTACATCCGATTTTTTCACATATTATTCACATAGTCACATGTTAAAAAAGCCTTTGATGGTGTGAAATATATGCAATTAAGGAAAATTTGTACAAGTATCTAATAATCTCTTTTCTTCACATTCATCTCTTGGTGGAGGTCCTTTCTCACACTCTGTTAATCACTTATAATTTTCCATTCTAGTGGTTTGTAGTTTGTACGATTGCATTTAGCTTAATCACAATTACCAGGAAATACTGAAGTTCCCTCTAGATTTATTGGCCTTTGAGTACATGCAAGTCATTGGTCATTTGGTGTTGCGCAACGCCGGGTTTTGAGGTGCTGAGACTGAGCTGAAATACTGTCTTTCCTAATCGTGTGGCCGTATTTCAGGCCTGGAACCACATATTGCCCCATAGAGACTGGTGCAACTCAAACATTTGAGCACAAAGTTATTTCAACATATATTCAGGTACATTTGTAAGTTCTCTGAAGATTTTCCACTGCCTATCCAAATTTCTCCCCTGCTCTCTCACCACTTTCCCTCATTGCACTAACAACCTGTCAGTTTGGTGTTATCAGCTCCAGCCATCTGCTCTCATGGCTTAGTTTTAACTTAGAGTAAAAACTGAAGACACACACACACACACACACACACGTATGTGTCAACTAACCACCTGGTATCATTGTGCCTTCTTACTACTGTGTATTCTGTTTGTAGTGATACTATAGAGAGATGGCAAAGACACTTTTCATCCCAAGTAAATGTTATGTTGTGAGAACAGATGACAGGGCCTGATAACACTGGATTGCCAGCAAACACAGACAAACAAGCAAAAAAAAAAAAAAAAACCTGTGTGTGTCCACTTCCCACTTGCTATCTGTGTGTCCTCTGTCTGCAGTGGCAGCCACAGGAAGGCTCATAAAGCCATGCTTGTTGATGATATCTCTAGTTCTGTGTCCCACACAATGATGAAATCATACCCGTCCCACCAGAGCTGGGCCTCTGCTCTTCCCCACTCAAAATCCTGTGTCATTGTGACAGTTAGCGAGAGGCTTTAGATGAAGTAAGGGGTAGGAAGCTAAACGTTTACTAATAATGTAGTAAGTAATGTGTTATATTCATCATGAAATGGAGTGATTTTGTAGCCTGTGCATGCTAAAATAGTTACAAAATTCAGAAATATTCATACTCTTATTTGCAGTGGTGGAAAGCATACAAAACACACTGACGAATAAAAGTACTGTTCCTGTTGTGATAAGTCACACGAGTAAAAAGAAAAGTATTCATCAAGAAAAATACTTGAGTAAATAAATCGTCTGGTGAAACACTACTTGAGTTATTACTTTACAAATTACTTCTTCATATGTCTAAAATTGACACAACTAACCTGGAAATATTCTATACTAACTCACCAAATGAACACCACACTGATTATCAACAGTATATTAAAAAAAAAAAAAAAGTAAAGTTAGCTAGCTAGCTGAGGTTAATTCATACATGTTTCCAGTTATATTGGTCACTATCTAGCAAAGATGTCCCTTACACATTATCCTCTCTGTCCAGGGGCGTCATGTTATGGCTGACCCCAGCTTCCTAACAAGCTGGGATATGCGAAAAAGGAATTTCACTGTGCTGTAATGTATATGCGACAAATAAAGGCTTCTTCTTAAAATTAAAAAAAAAAAAAAAAAAAAGAACCATTACAGTCAACCATGTACTCCAGTACTATCACAAGAGCAGATGTGTTTATATACCCCTGATTATATATGAGTGGTTTACTACAATATAGGTAAAAGAAAATCTGCTATTAAATGTAAAACGTAATATAAAGCAAGTAATAGTTTAAAAGTGACCTTTATTTATTTTACTTTTGAACAAAAGCAAAAATGTAAAATCTAGAAAAAATATCTGAAGTTGCAAAGAAAAAAAAAAGTTCTCCATTATTTTCTATTTGTCCTTCTTTGTTTAAGGTTTTCTGTCATGTATATCAGGACAATTCTTTTTATCACTAACATAACATACATGTCCAGGAAATTACCTTAAAATATACATTATTTATATGAAATATAAGTTCAGTGCAAAAGATTGCATACACTTACTTATTTAAAGCCATTTAATGAGAGCTTTACAGCTGTTTCGTCATTATCATAAGTAACAAAAATGGTCAAAAAAGTTCATGATAAGATATTAATAATAAAACAATCAAATAGAAATGAATGTTAATGTGATACAATAGTGGATTTATTTCAGTTGCCTCTAAGGACTTTTTTACTAGTTTGTGCTGTTTCAGATATTTTTCCTCAGCTCTTATTATACACTTTAATGATAAGTTACTTTTATTATCATTATACACATACAATGAGATTCAGCGTGCACCGAAGTTCCCCGCCGAAGCTATGATACATATATATGGTTATGAGGAACATTCAAATAATTTATCAAGAGAATGGCAAAAGGGATGTGAAATTCTGTGCTTATTAATAAAGGTAGAGTTAGAAACACACTGCTTGCACAGCTGATGAAGGACCTTTGTATGAAACATCCTGTTTCTCTTGAAACTTTGTTTAATTCACTTCTACCACAATAATACTACAGTAATTACTGAAGTATGCTGCAGTTACTCCCTGGATTCTTGGAAAAATACAAAAAATACATTTGCACCATCATAGGTGAAAAAAACCCTATATGGCAACAGCATTGATCTTGTGACAAAATCCCCCTAAATGCCCATGTTTATAATGTTTTCTGGACGTTACTTAGTTTTATAAATTAGAGACTACTGAAATTTCCAAAAGTGTGCCAATTTCCTCTTCTCTTTTAGTGGGTAAATTGAATACATAAAGGAAGCTCTTTAATAATGTTATACTATTCGTAATTTAGCTATCCGGACTACTTTTCAGAATAATTTTTGGTCCATTTTGATCTGAATATTTTTACAGACTATCTTACTGATATATAAACTGAACAAGTTTATAATATAACAGTATAATCTGACAGTCTTTACATATCTTCATTTATGTAATTATGCAGTCAGGTCCACTAACCTGATAACTACGGTAAGCGAGTTTCTAAGGTCACTCAACAGTTCTCTTCAACTCCTACATCATTGACTTTGTTCTGTAGGTGGCGCTGAGAGAGATAGCGACTGAGTGTGTCCACCTCATGGCTAAGCTGTTCGATGTGCAGTAGTAGCCTGTGATTTTCCTCCTGAAGCTCCAGGGCCTTTTGCTGGGTGAGCTGGATACGCCGGCGTGCTTTATCGCGGCTCTTCCTCACAGCAATGTTGTTGCGCTCACGTCTCAGCCGGTATTCCATGCTGTCCTTACTCAGGCCTCTCTTCTGGCCTGGCTGCCGAAATGTGGACGGAGGAGGAGGAAGAAGGAACTGAGAAAACTCCTTCACCATGTTGCCAAGTTCACAGACGAGGCAGAATGAACACAAAAGCAATATGATCACCTGACTTGCAGTAAATACTATTATGCAAAATTGTATCAAAGTAGTAGGAACAAAAATAAACCTTTCATAACAACACTTCTTGTACCTGTTGTATAACGTGACTGTGCTGTGCTGGTCTTTCCATTGTTGTGTTTGAACAAGTAGAATAGGGCAAATACGCCATGCCCATCATCGGCTCTCCGCTCCTCTCACTTGTCCTGGACAGTCCCTGAGACCCCATCG